GCCCAACTAATTTTTTGTATTTTTAGTAGGCATGGGTTTCACCATGTTGGTCAGGCTGGTCTCACACTCCTGACCTTGTGATCCGCCCGCCTTGGCCTCCCAAAGCGCTGGGATTATAGGCATGAGCCACCACGCCTGGTTCCTCTTGCCAGTTTCTGGTGTTGACAGCAATTCTTGGTGTTCCTTGACTTGCAGATGCATCAATCCAGTCTCTGCCTCCACAGGGTTCTCTCTATATGTCTTTACCTGCTATCCCCTCCTTGTGTGAGTCTCTGTCTCATGTCCTCTTATAAAGACGCCAGTCACATTGGAGTAAGGGCCCACTCTAGCCTAGCAGGACTTCATTTCAACTTAACAGTGGCAGAGACCCCACTTCCAACAAAGTCACATTCTAAGGTTCTGGAAAGGGCACGACTCTTTGGGGGACATGATGTAACCCCGTACAAATACCATGCAAGGGAAATTTGAGTGAGTGGAGTACAGCACCTGAACCAGCAAGACAGGAAGCCAGGAGCAGCAGAAGGGCAATGGAAGGGCGAGAAGCAAGCGAGGGTGGCAGAGTTTGCTTGCTTTGCAGCTCTTCACAGGGGCCCAGAGAGTGCTTTTAGTACTGAGGATGTACAGTCATGCACCAATTAATGTTTTGGTCAACTGCATACATGATTGTGATCCCATTATAAGATCATAATGCTGTATCTTTACTGAACCTTTTCTACATTTAGATACACAAATACCATTGGGTTACCATTGCCTTACAGAATTCAGTACAGTAACGTGCAGTACAGGTTTGTAGCCTAGAAGCAATAGGCTACACCCTGTTATTCTAGGTGGATAGTAGGCTCCATCTAGGTTTGTGTAAGTACAGTCTATCATGTTAGCAGAAGGATGGAATCACCTAGTAACACTTTTCTCAGAACATGTCACTGTCGTTAAGTGAGGTCTGACTGCCCTTGAAACACCAGGACCGGAATGGAAGGCTGCACACTGTAACCCATGCTGCTTCCACCCAGTTTTTTCAAGTCCGGACTTTCCTTTTTACCCTTTCAGAAGAAGGGAAGAGGCTTAATATTGTAAATCAAACAAGACTTGAAATTGGGCAATGTCAGTTCAAGTCATGATTTGACTTTTAACTTTGTCACTTTGGGCAAAGTATTTGAGCTCCGTCTGTTTCCTCCTCCTTACAGTGAGGATGTTGGACGGTTTTCCTGTCTGTAAAAGGGGATGTTGAGGATGCTCAGCGAGGGTGCTTCTGCTTCTGTAAGCTATTGCTCTAGGAGGAAGCAGTGGAACTATGCTTCCCGTCCCTGGTCAGGGGCTAGACTTTCAATATGACTGGTGGCTATCCCCATGTTTTACCAAGTATATCAGACAGCATTTGTAATTGTAAACAATAGAAATTTATTATCTTGAGCAAAACAGGGATTTGTTAGAAGGTATTAGGGACTGGTACCGGATCAATTTGGTGCAGGTACTTTCTTACTGCAGATGTGATCCTGTCCTCTCCCAGGAGCCCTCCAGGATTGTATCACTTGCACAACAGTAAGCATCTGGACAAGAGTTTTTTGGTTCTGCCCTTCCTTTTCCCCTTCCCCTTCCCTTTCCCTCTCCCCTTGCCTTCCTTCTTTCCCATCCTCCCTCCCTCCGTTCTTTTCTCTCTCCCTTTCACTCTTTCATTTTTTTTTTTTTTTTTTT